GGGTGTGTGTGTGTGTGTGTGTGTGTGTGTGTGTGTGTGTGTGTGTGTGTGTGTATTCTGCAGAAAACGTAAATGCTACACAAATAAACTTATATACATGAGTGAGCTACAGTCCCCCCGCCCCTTTCCCCCGCCCTCCGAATTTGCTGATGTCTTCCAGCCAGTGTGCACTCCATGGGATTGTGTGGATTTATATCATGTGTAGACCTTTGCTATTGAAGTGAGGAGCCTCACTTGTTCTTGGTGGGGAAAGCACAGTGGGGAGGGGAACACAAGAGGCCTCCAAGGATGGGGCCTGGACACTGTACATTTAGGGAGGGTGAAGACTGCAGAACACAGAGGGAATATGAATGTAAAAGCCACCCAGAAGAGCGCTGAGGATGACAGTTAAGCTAACAGAACACTACTTCCCTGTCCTTTTAGTGATCTTTCTGGAATATTAGTTTCTTCTGCTGTACTCCTGATAACCCACGTGAATTAACAACAGCACAGCTTTGTAGATGTAACCGTCTTATTAAGTAAGAAACACAGAGCCAAATGCAGAGTTAAAAGCCCAAGAGGTCAGAGCAGTAGCTAAGAGCTGAGACCAAAACCGCCTTCTTACTACCCCATGCCGTGGCTGTCCTTCCGTTGAGAAAGAGATCTACTTCCTGTGTGTCTATCTTTTTATTGACTTTCCGTTCCGCCTTCTCATTGGTTGTAAACTCAAACACATGACCTCCTCGTCACTGCCTGTCTATACAGACCTCCAGATCTCTATGGTTGGTATTGAGATTAAAGGCATGTGTCTCCATGCTGGCTGTATCCTTGAACACACAGAGATCTGCCTGTCATGTGATTGGGATTAAGGGCGTGTGCTACCACTGCCAGACTTCTGCTATGGCTTGCTTTTAGCTCTGACCCCAGGCACTTTTATTTATTAACATAGAAATAAAATCACATTTCAGCACAAATAAAATATCACCATACAGCTTTATGATTGGTTCTAGCTACAGGGCCTGCATGTGGGAGACTCCAGTCATCCAACATTATTCTGGCTGAGCTGAGACTGTCCGTTAGTGTTATCTCTGAAAGGGCAGGGGTCAGGCAACCCAGGGGGCCACAGGCCAAAGGTGGTACAGCCCAGGGGGCCACAGCTGCAGGGAGGCAGCTGCCTCTACCCTGCTGAAGCTGGGCAATCAGATGCCAGGCATCCCACCCTCATCCCTGCCACCATCCCTCACCCCCTGCCCACCACCGTTTTTCTTTCTTCACAAGCTTGCTCTCTGGAGTGGCCACATGGGTTTAAATACCAGCCATGTCAGCACATGGCCAGCGAGTCCCAGCTTCCTATGTGTAGAGCCTCTAACGTCCAGACTCCAGGGCTCTGAGGCTGGCTTCAGAGTTCTACTTGGAGGTCTAGTAAGGATTTTCAATTTAATTTGATCAAAAACTAAACCACTGCACTAGCCAGAGAATTAGGAAAGAAAAAGAAATAAAGGAGACCAAAACTAGAAAGCAAGCAGTAAAACTACTTTTACCCACAGATCAGATTTTACATGGGCTGTTTTTCTGGCATTTTAATAAAAAGTAACCACAAGAACTAAATAAATTCGACAAGGCTTAAAAAAAAATAAGATCAACACATAAAACTAGTTATTCTACAAATTAGGAGTGAACAATTTGAAAAGGGTATTAGGAAAACAGTTCCACTGACAACGTATGAAAGAGAATAAGGCAGAACAAAGTCAATGGAGAAGGCACAACATTGCCTGCTGAAAGTGAAGACTGTTGTTGAAGGGCCGGGGGGAAGGCTCACTGGGTAAACCGATAGATGCACAAGTGTGAGGACTGGACTTCCGATCTCCAGGAACCAAGCACACTGGATAGGCATCTGGAACCCCATGATTCAGAAGCCAGGGGAGATGGTCGGAGCAAGCTGGCTAGCTAGATTAGCTGAATCACTGAGCGCTGGGTACAAACCAAAGACCTTGCCTCAACATATGAAGTGGAGAGGGAGCAAGGAAGACACCGAATGTCAACCTCGGGCCTCCTCTACAACTCCAGCCCTCTTCTGGCCTTCTAGGCCCCAAACACACACATGCTGCACAGAAATACATGCAGACAAAATACACATACAAATAAAAAAGTATTAAAAAAAAAATCAAAACCTCAATTTAAAAAGTAAGCAAGCAGCTTGAAGAGACATGGCTCCAAAGAAAAGGAGCAAATGGCCATCAAGCGAACAGAAAGATGTGACATATCCCTAGTAACCAGGAAACCACCACTAAAACTCCATTGAGATGATACATCATGTCATTATTCCGGCTGTTTAAAAACAAACACAATAGAAAACAACAAGCTTGATGGGGAGGTGAAGAAGGTGGAGACTCGGACATGCCTGGAGGGAAGGTAAAATTTAGGGACAGTTTGTTAATTGCTTCAAAAGTTAAATGTGTCATTGACAGTTGATGAGCAGAGAGCAACTTACAGAGAGAGCCAGCACACTGCTTATCTGGCTGCTAGGTCACAGCACATGGCTTATCTGGCCACATAGGTTAGAGACATGAAATAGATCCAGTGTGACTCCTCCCATTAACCAAGGAAACGCCTAAGAACATGACAGATATTGGTATATGTAACTGCTAGAGATGAATTTTTTAAAAAAATGAAGACTGCTAATGGATAGAGAAGTGGATGGTTGGATGACAAAGGAAATATAGCCCCCAAAGCAGCAACTGCAAACTCAAAAGCTGGAGAGGAGAATTTCAAAATCTGATCGTAATATATAACGGTTAATCTTCATAGGGTCTAGAATCACCATGGAAACAAACCTCTGGTCTTAGCTGGGAGGCATTACCCAGATTAAGTTAACTGAGGTAGGAAGACACATCCCAAATGTGGGCAGCGCCATCTGATGGGCTGGAGCCCGGGCTCAGGAAGGAGAGAGCAGGCTGAGCACAAGCGCTCGCTCATCTCTCTCTGTCCCTGGCTGTGGCTGCCATGTGACCCGCTGTCCTGGACTCCTGCCACCTTGCCCTCCTCACGGTGGACTGTACTCCCCCATTCTGTGAGTCCCAAGAAACTCCCTCTCCCTTACACTGCTTCTGTTGGCTATTTTGTCATGGCAACAAGAAAAGTAAACTACTCCATAATAAAGATGATACTAGTTTATGGACATGTGAAGTCCACCCAGCAGAGGCTCAACTGATTCTTCGCTACCATAGTTTGAGCCTTCAATGTCCCACAAACGCTGATGTGATGATGTTGGATGTGGTGGGACCTTTAAGACACAGGCCCTAGTGAGAGGTCTTTAGGACAATGGGGGAGGGGGTCCTTGAAGTGTATGTGTGGGGGGTGGGTATTAGGAGCACCCCTCCCCCCACGCTCACTTCTGTTTCCCTGCCCCAAGCATGAGCAGTTTTGCTCCACCATAAGCTCTTACCATGATGAATCACCACAGGAGAGGGCGACAGGGCTAGCTGGCTGCTGAACTGTGGGACAAACACTTTAGTCTTGAGGTGACAGACAGTCTGAGGTAGTTTGTTACAGTAACCGAAGATGACTAACACACGCTTCCACTGGGGAAACCACTAGCAATACCATTTCAGTAGGCCTGACATGTAACACTGGCTTAGAAGGCAAGCTGAGGCACCCGGAGGGTGAGAGGCCCACAGCCAAAACGAGGACTGCCACCGAAAGAAAACCATGAACTCAAAATGTGAGGCCCAGAAAATGTGTTTCCAGAATGGTGCCCGGTGGATTTGCTTCATAGAATGAAAAAAGGAACAAGAAAAAGGGTTTAGACAAACACGGACCTAAGATGGCCATCAGGCACCAGGTGCGGGTATGTGACAGCAAATAAGCATGACGCACTCTCCCCTAAGCCACTACTACCCTGGCGTCAGGACAGCTGTATAGAGCTAAGGGTAAGTGCAAGGTTGAAATGAAGGTGACTCACAAGCCCATGGCCTCCGG